AAACAAAAAAAAAAGAAGAGGAAATGCACTTGCACTGCATAAAAAAGAAAAAATATTTCTTAAATGTCTAGAAAGTTTTGAAGAATTAATATTAAACTGCTTGGGGGGCCTTTTAGGGAATTTCACTATCGACACTACTAGTCAGAATCATTTAGTGAAAATGTTCGTAGAATAGGTGGGGTTCAAAGTAACTTTCAAGAAATAACGCACCCATTACATGGATCAACCGTGTCCACGAACCTCTCCATTATCTTGGGCTAACATAGGAGAGAGGGTGACATCTCTGGCGTATCTAAGCAAAATCATTTGCCATGATATCATGAAATTTCAAAACGAACAAGGTATTGTAACGTCTATACACAGCTGCAATTCCCGTTTTTCTGGGCGGAGAATGCCTATCTTGGATCTAGGCATTTTTCTTTAGAGGTTTAGGCGAGTCGAGAGACTGAAAGCTGGTTCAAGTTACTATTCTTACTACATTTGTATGTGAATTGCGCTCAGTTTTTATTTTAATCGAACGTATAAAAGAAATGAATATAATTGTGTTCAGGTGCATCTTGTTCACCCAGCGGTGGGGCATTCATAATTCAATTGGTATCAGAGAATGACTTTATTTAACGCGTTGATGCTCATTTCAAAATTAGTGATTGCTTCCAAAAAAAAACACATTTTTTTTTTTTTTTTTTTTGTTTTATAATACTACGAATATAGGTATGCCACGACGTGTGCGTTTACAAGCCCAGGCAACGGGTTAAAAGGGGTTAAAATGATTAGTGTCTGTAAGGATCGCAGATACAGAGCAACCAATGAGTGAACTGACTCACTAAAGCAATATAAAATGTCATACCCCTTCTAATATTGCGATATTTCTCCCAGACAAAAAAAATTCGTGGCCTCTTTCTAAATCGATCTGAATTGACTAATTTCTTTTTTTCAGAGCTATAGGGTACTGCGAGCGAAAGGAAACGGCCCCTAGGTAATTACAAAAAAAAAAGCTATGATGTATGTGGTCAGTCGACATTAAGTACATACTGAAAATGGCAAAAAAAAAAAAAAAAAATCATTTGTCTCAATACTGTCAATGAAATGCTTTAAAAAAAAATTCAGAAAAATCATCTTATGACGTCACAAGTAAAGTAAACATTGACGAAAAGACAAATCTGAATTGACTGCATAGTACCCTACATAGGCTAACGGGCTGATTTCCAAGAGATTGATAACATGCCCTGAGTGAAGTTTCACAAGTGGTGGACCACACGCAAAGTAAAGCAGTTTTCTTAGTCCGGTTTAGGCCTTGATTTTGCCTTCTACTATCACCCAACTAACGCAATTAAAGCATGCAACTGAGATAAAATGTCCAGAAATGAAAACAAGAAAGATATTATTACCTTGAATGCCAAACGCACATATACACATTATTTATGTTTCTGTAAAAAGTGACAGACTTTAAGTAGTGGCCTGTACTTTGCTCCGCCGGATAGCCATTCATTTTGAGCTCCGCAAATACAATCTAACGATAGAAGGCTAGCTTGAAATGAGATCTGTGGATATTATATCGTTTAGTATATAGTATATAAGATAATCAAGTCTAACTGACACAAATTTCTTTCAGCTCGAAAGTAAGAAATTTCTAAGGCCAGGAATTCGGTGAGCTATCCGATAAGAGGCAAATAACTATAGCTAGGGATGATGAGTATTTCGATTATTAATATGGAGAAGCTGATAAAAAAAGAGAACGGTTTGGTTGAAGTAACATCATCGCATAGTGGATTCTGTAGCATCCTTGATTTTAAAAGTAAATATATGTGTGAATTGTTAAGGTATATCGTTCAAAGTCACATTCAAAAGAAACAGTGAACTGCTCTGCTGCGGGTTTTTATATATTCTATGCGCGATAAAGGTATTCTATGCGAGATTTTTTTGCATGAATTGGTTACATTTTAAATAATTCGTTCAATTCAATATCGGCGTAAGATATATTAAAGCGCTTGATTTGATAAATGATATTAAAATATTAATTTTGTGCTTCAATAACTCTCAAGCCACGACTTACACAATAGGGAACTGAAGTTTTTTTCCTGCAGGAAAAAATAGAAAAACCAACAACAACGCAAAAAAAAAAAAAAATGCTTTGATTGTTGGTTTGTTTGTTTGATAAATACATTGTACGGATAGATGCATATATATGTACACATACATTATATGCTTTACTCTACACATCCTAAAGCATATTCTCGTCTACATACATATATGTATACATAAGTATGTGCCATCATAAAGAACATTTTTATTGTCCTCATTTCGGGTGTAAATGTCATGAACTCGTTTTTATTTTATGTGCTTCATAAACACACATATGCATCCACTGCATTAAAATCCATAACAATGAAATGAAATCTTAACCTTTCAGACAATAGTATGCAGCACGCGAAAATGAATGTGAAAACTGCACAAATAACACAAAATGCATACACATACGTATATAGAAATACTTGTAGATGCATATGCCGCACAATGTCTGTTATTTACTTGAAACGAAATGAAATGAGTTCAGGGTAATTTGAAATAATACTCGTATAGAGTTTTTTAAGCGGATTAAACGTATATATATATATATATATATATACATATATATACATATATATATACTTCATGCATTCTTTTCAAAAAATTTATATTTATTTATAAAAATAATGCATGTGAGTGTGTGCGCATGTAAACTTGGCAATGTTAATAATCATTTCAAGTAGGCGGCTTTATTTACCAAAACAAGAAGAAAATTAAATTAAATAAATATAAGTAAGCGTACGTTAATTTCACCTTGGGATCTATCCTGAATTCCCATCTTCTCAGCTAGCTATGCAAAAAACCCTTTGACTTCTTTATTAGTGAGTAAATGACTTTCAACATTTTTTCAAATACATCGTATATTTGTTTTGTTAAGATCTATATATATATATATATATATTTATCTGAATGGATATAAGTATATATATTTCTTGATTTTACTTATACGCATTGATATCAGGGATTGTATATATTGATTCCCCTAGAAATGGGGAATGGGGATAGAGTCATGTTGTGAAAAACATTTGCAGCGCCTAGAAGAAAGCTTCAGATGTGGAATCTACCTAAATAAGTTCGTTTGTCCACCTGCTTGGCACTGAAGATATGCCCAATGTATTAAGCGAAATGCTCAGAGTGCGATGGCAATAAAAATTCGCACGTTTTATTTCGATCTCTAGCTTTCTACATTAATTTCTAAGCAAAAGCGGGCAGAAGGACATTATTATATCGAAAGAATAAGCATTGAGGCAACAACAAATAAACATACAAGTAATTATCAAAGCCTTTATGTTATTATCGCAGGGAAGGGACGACGGCGTTAATGTAGAAAAATGATATTCTAAACATGTAGAATTGATATTAATACGCATGAGCAATTGGGCAGAATGTGAATACGAGTTGACCAAGAAAATGACAACGACTTTGATTTAGTTTAAGCAGTGCGCAAAATGCTTTAACCCCGGCAAATCAACACAAAAACGTCGCCGAGATGTTAGACACTGGTTGGTAAATCGCTGGTAAAGGGATATTCACGCGAAATAGAATCGAATCGAAATGGTTGAGCCATAATATCCAAGCGAAGGGAATTTGTAATTAGTTCGTAAATAGACCTACTAAGAAGAATCTCCTAACAGTTGTGCGAATGAGCATAATAATAATGAAATACTCAAATGGAATCTGGAAGTGCAAGGCTAAAAAAGTATTATTTTTGCAGAAATTTGCTTTTAAAACGAAGATACAAACTTCCGCTGGTGAAGCAGCTTTCTGCTGCTGCTGCTGCTCTGGTGCCGGGGGCTAACTCATGGGGCTCCAGGCATCCCAGGCATCCCAGAAATTTATTTTATTCTTTACTTCTTTACTTACTTATGCACTAAAGGGGAAAACATATAAGGGAAAAAAAAACCACATTATCGCGCGACGGTGTGTGTTAGATCTACAATAACTTGGAATTTCAATCGAAAATATATTGAAGCTCAGTTAATTCTCCCATCATTTTTTTATTCTCAATAATTGACATTAGATAAGGGAAGGCATCTTATCGCTTATAAGACACTATAACAGAACGCCTTTTTACGCCTTAGGGTGGTTATTAAATGCTAGCTGTTTTAACCGTTGTGGTCTCAACATTATGATTAATGAAATCATGATCATGTAATTTCATATTTCATTAAATTTTTCATTACATTTTGCTTATCGATGATAAAATCATAACGAATTGGACGGGGATTTTTGATCATTTTGAAAGGTGACACACAGTAATTAATCAAAATTACGCGCGCAAAGTTTTTGTTTTTGTTTTTTTTTTCTTTTTCCAATTTTTGTTATCTTAAATCGGTTGCAAGCGGACAGAGAAGCTATGCTAAGCTGCATGTTATAAGAAAGAAACTGAAATAATTGTATTTTCATTCTCTGGTAATGAGTATTGGTAAAAAAAAAAAAAAAAACCAAAAAAATGACGAGAAGTTAGACAGAAATCTATACTTGGGAAAGAGAAGAAGCACCTTGATCGCTGAAGTTTGTTTGGCACTGAAGGTTGTTCCATCGTTTATGTATTTTTTTGAAAAGAAGCAAAATATACACATATAATTGAAAATGATGTATAAAAACACAATGTATATATATATATATATATATGTATTTATGTTATGCATAATGCATAATTTGTGTTAATATTTAGAATTATTTATCTATTTATTCGATATTGTATACTTAAAATGTTTTTATTTACTTTTAGCATTGCATTAATTTAGCTACACAGAGATACAAATACAAATACAGATACAGATACTGATACAGATACTGATACAGATACAGATACAGATACAAATACCGATTCATTACATTACACTGATATGTATAAATATATTTACATTTATTTATAAATTTAGTTAAAGATAAAATTATCTTAACTAATTTTGTTAATTTTAAATAGACTATGTATTCTGTTTACATTCAAAATTAAAGAAAAACTTAACAATTATATAAAGTAAAACTAAACAGGTATTGAGTTTAATTGTCGCAATAGATATGAATAAAATCATATTTATACTGAAAGCCATCGAAGAGGCTGAGGAACCTAAATTACCTTTCGTAAGTTGATCTTGACAACGGCCGATGGCATCGATGTCCAATTCGATCATTGCACGACCGTTCACTTCTAGCGGAGAAATGCAAAAATTTTTCTCTAAGAAATCGCTAAGATTATGAGCACCTTCGACTAATGGACCTTCGAGCAGTGTATGTATATGGCAACCGCAGGGAAAATGATTATTAATTAATTGCAAATGATCGACTCCATCTATAATAATAGCACTTGGTTCGGGTGTTTCCAGTATATGATTGCCGTACACCTTTAAATGTTTTATATTTGCATTATATGTGAAATTTAATTCCTCAATTGCATCGATTTTATTGTTTAGTATCTGCAAAGTTTCCACTTGCGTGAGACCAGTAAATGCGTCTACACAGATTACGCCCAAGTCAGATTCTTGTAATGTTAATAGTAAAACGTTGGAGAGACCGCGAAATGTGAACGGCTGCACCTCCTTAAGATCCATATAAGCTAATTTCAATAGACCGACACTATCCATACTGAAAAACGCATCCGATTCAATTGTACGTATGCCAGATGGTAATATTAAATGCCCAACATTTGTCAAACTGGAAAACGCTGATGTATCGATTTTGATTAAGGGATTATTAGAGAGAAGTATCAGCTTAACATTGGAAGTCCCCGCAAAAGCATTCGCTTCTATGCGTGCGATTTGATTATGACTTAATAGAATTGTTGAGAGATTTTGTAAACCAGCAAAAGCGAACGACGTCACCGTCTGCAACGGCGTATATTGTATCGAGAGCTCTTTGAGGCGCGGTAAGCCACGAAAAGCAAATTGTTTAATTTTTGTTATATTATTGCCGTCCAAAGATAGTTTTTTAAGCGCTCGCAAACCAGCAAATGAATCCGGTTTAATGATAGGAAAATTATTCTTAGTTAATGCGAGATTTTCAACAGTCGGCGGTAATTGACGCAAAGGGATTTGCTCGAGACCTCCGGTATTACAAAGCACCTGAACAAATATAATTAAAAGAGAAAGAGAAAGTCGAGAGAGAGAGGACGAGAATAAGAGAAAGAGAGAAAGAGAAAATGTTGCATGTTTGCGTTTCTGATCTTTTTTTTTTTTTTTTTTTTTTTTTTTTTAAAAATATTTTAAATATATATGAATTTAAATTTAAAAAAAAAAAAAAAGAAAAAGATGAATGATCATCTTATAAAGACGTGCTCGCAAAATATATGTTAGTGTCGTGCTGCTTTCGTTTTACTGCTTCGTCGCTAAATTGAATCTTTGCGGTTATAATATTAAATTAAATTAAATGAAAAAATATCGTCCGCCCTTGTTAGTGATTTCGCGTTTTTTGTTCTTTTCTTTCACTTCCTGGCCGTCTGTCTCTGTCAGCTTGATATTTGCCCGCGATATTTACATTAACCGAACGCATGAACTTTTCTTGGATACTGCGTTCTATATCTTCTGCGAGAGTTGCTGGCCTTGGTCAGAGGGTGTTCATTTGTTTGTTTGTTTATTTTCTTGTTTATATATTTATACAAATATTTGCTTTTCTTCTTTCGCTTGTCGTCAACTGTACCATCCGGTTTTGTTATTCGGTAGTATCTACCATAGTTGTTGTTCTTACTTACGAAAATTATAAGCGTCAATGAGCAGCAACAACGCCTTCATACCATCGTCATATCATCGTTAATATTACCCGTCATTAAAATCATTATCATCATCGTTATCATTATCATTATCATCATCATCATCATTATCATCATTACCATTTAAAGATTGAAATTGATAGGAAAATCGGTAGGAAGGCTTTATTAAGCTTTAGCATGTTCTTCTCCTTTTTCTCTTCTTTTTTTTTTTTTTTATATACATGTATAATATAACAAAAATATATCTATATATATATATATAGATATATTTTTTTCTTTTCTGTTAATTTCAATTTAAAAATGCAAATTTAATGCGATTCCGCATCATCATCACGGTTCTGTTCTGCGCTCAGTTTGAGAGGTTTTTTCATTTTTGATTTCTACATATATATACATATATATATATATATATATATATATGTTGTTTTTATTTTTAGTATTGTTGTTCTCTGCTCGATACAAAATTTTAATATTCAACTCAATTGCTTTGGTGGGTTATTGAATTAATAAACTTCCCGCCCAATGCCAATTCTTGCTGTTTATTGTGTCAATAGCTATGTCCGTTTCCGTATGCCTGATAGTTCATTTCACTTTACTTCAGTTTTATTGTTATTGTGTGTCTTGCAAATAAAATCTTTTCTTTGTTTCGTTTTAATATGTATCGAGTGTGTATCTCGATGGCTTCCCTTGCATTCCCGTCGCATTTTTTTTTTTTGTTCTATCCTTTGAAATGCCTGCGTTAGTGTTTATTAGCGAGTGTACATATACATATATATATATATGTGGATGGTTATGCGTTCATTACTTACTTGTGTCTGTGATAAGCAAATGCATTCGGTTGGGCATGACTTGGATGTTTCAGTTTGTTGCGAATTCCATAAGCATCCAACGGTTGTAATTGCTGTAATAAGTAGCCAAGTATTGTACATTTCACGTTACTAAAGTTACGTTAAATTTCCACAATTTTCAATTTTCAACAGGGCGATGGACGATGGACGATGGGCGATGGGCGATGGGCGACGGACAATGCAAGTAAAATAAACTGCAATTAAATCAGAAAAAATGAAATAAAAATTAATTTTTATTAATTAAAATTAAAATGAGCAGCAATTAACACTTTTTATCGCTAAACAACTTTTACACGATAGAGAAAACGAAATTACCAATGGGTTTGCAAAAATTCACTTTCGTTGTATACAACGTAGGATGCGATACATTTTGAAAGAATTTAAACAACAAAAGGGAAATAAATAAATTACAGAGGCATACATATCTAGAGCGTTTACACCGGCGCACCCATTCCTCATCAGCAAGCTTCGATCGAAATAGATTCGAAAAAACCATTTTAACAAATTAATTGAAATAATGATCAAAAAATAGATTAATCATAGGGCAAATATATAAATTACTTACTTTTACACCCCCCACAAAAAGGGGAAAATAATAATACATTTGCGAATATTTAGCCTTTAATCCATGAAAATATGTAGAAATGGAGATCGCATAGGGCGCATATATTCTTAATTAGGGTGATTGTGGCATCGATTTAGCCGCGTTTGTTTGTTGTCCGTACGTTGAAATTATATTCTCAATCCAAAAAGTTTGACTAGATCAACAAATTGTCTGCCTACCATTTACTAAGCACTGTTACCAAGGATCTGACAACAAATAGTAAAGAATTTTAATCGAAGGCTTGCACACAAGCCTTACCAGTCTTAAGCGTTTTGATTTCGATTATGGATTTCTCAATGACGGTAATTTGTCCGACTACGAAATGTATATACGATGCTGTACCATGATGCGAATGGCACAAGGGTTATGAACAGCTACCCAGTCGCCCGGCTGGCATAGATTTAACATAGCAATTAAAGGAGGGAGAATTATGAAGGCCATTAGACATGATAAAGCCTTACACTCGATAATCCAAACAAATGTGAGACCAGCGTTTATATAAAAATCGTTTTTAATTGCTTTAAAATAATGTTAAGAACACAAGTTTTAGGCAAAGTTGAAAGTTGTGGTGTCACGGGGGATGGCTCATTACAAAAGTGAAGATTTGTGAAATTTTTTACTAAGGACTCATAATAGGACGGAGACTGATTAAGAGAAAAACTGGAAATATGCTAAAGAAAAACAGTGTTGGTGTAGGATATGCTTGGATGGTGTAGGATATCATTTAAATATGATACCTTTCTTTAAGGCAGGAATATGCTGTAGAGTAAGTGTAATGGAAAACTTTTTGATTACAAGAGAAGAGAGATTTTTTGATCTTAAAAGAAAGTTTTGAACATCTTGTATAAGCGATAAACTTTAATGAAGAACGTTGCGGTTAATGGTCGCGGTTTCCAATCTCAGTGTAATAGTCCATGCTGTCTAAACTTATGCCCGCTTGTTAATACTTTAAGTATAAAATTAGTTTGTACTGTTTACTTTAACTTTGCTGTTTACGTCTGGTTGACATTCTACGCTGTAATGTTATAATTTAAGTCTGAGATTGAAAGTTCGCTTGTTGGTGCTTTATGCCTAGAAAAGTGTTTACTTTAAATTTTGCTCTGCATTTCGATCGATGCTCTTCTCTGTAATGTTGCAGTGTAGGTCTTTAATGTTAATAGTGTTGCTTAATTCGACTCAATAATACAAAATGCATAAATAGATAGATGATTTATTGCAAATCTATGTTAACTTCTTGGCCGCGTATCGCTGGATGTTACCTGCGAGATAGCAAAACTAAAGTATTCTTATCGTTCGTTGGATGTTAAAAAAAAAAAAAAAAATAGAAAAAATTACCTGAAACTTTTTTTTTTTTCTGCTCAATGGGGCTCTTTTTCCTAATAAGTTTTTTTAGGTTAACATTTCATTTAATAATTCGCCCTGTTTTTCTAATATAGTAGATAAGGGGAATAAAGCGCGGTCAGCTCTATCGTAAGTCGCATAGTTGTATTTTTCTGGTTTCGTTCGTCTCTAACGAGTTTATAATTTCTTTTCTTTTTTTTTTTTGTTTGTTTGTTATAATAATGAACATTTCACACAAAATTGTTTTTTTTGTTTTTTTTTTTATATTGAGAAGCGCATGAAAAAATTGCTAAACATCTATTTTACATGCATACATCCGTAGTTGGGCCTACAACATGATATAAGGCATACATACATACAGTAAACCTATTGCCTGTGTTATGTGAAAATTTTCAATTATTTATTCAAACTGCTGCAGGCACAAAAGCAAAAGGTGACTGAGGAGTTATATGAACAAACGTATATCTCTGGGAGAATGTTTATGGGCTTACAGTGGAATAATGTAAGATGTACTTTATATAAGCATATGGTTATACATATGCTCGATGATGACTGACTGACAAGTAGGTGTTGATCTTTACGCACAAAACGATGTTTCCATAGCACATTTCAATTTACCGTCAAATCCATTTACGATATTACATGTGAGTGTATGCACAAAGGTATGTACATTCGTATATAACACTTTGTCTAGTTGATTAGAAATTTTCTATAAAATTGTGTTGATTTAAATGATTCCGCAAATATCCCTATACGAACATAGGAATATGTGTATATGACATATGCTATATCTTACAGGTTGGTTAAATAGTATTGATCCTCCTAAAGTTTAAAGGAAAAAATACATCTATTAAGCTTGATAATATGCACAACGAGGCTACATACATTATGTATAGTTTACGGAACGTTTTTTCTCATTCTGCCAAGAGGACCATAGAGCCATTTTTTATATCAATCTTTTTCTATTGATTTCAAGAAATCATAAGATATAATTCATAATTCATAGGTCTTCGTTGAAGTCTATATCCACTTCAACCACCTATTGGCGAGGATGGGCGAAATGCAAATTCAAGAATACGTGATGACTGACTTTTCTTAATTTCTAAACATTTAAAAAAAACATATTCGCCTACCGACGTACATATATAAACTTTTATATCGACAAACCTCAATTGTTTTTCTCTTATTCGATCGCTAAGTGAAGTTTTGATTGTCGGCAATGTGTTGTTGAACCGTTGCACGAGCTAAAGGCTCATCGCTTTCCATCATATATAACCTGAGCTTTGCCATAGTTTTCAAGGCTTCTTCTCTTCCCCTCTGCTTGCCTTCGATCAGTTGTATTTAGTTATTCATAAATTATACTTCAAAGTCTTACCTTTCAGTTATGACAGCTCACAGTAGGTAACAACACCCCAAGCCCAAGGAAAAATTCGCTGCTTCATGAGCTACCAATTGTTACTCTCGGAAATTGTTCAATTGGTTTACCCGCTCTTTACTTTCTTTCGTATAAAGCACTTGTGTGCATCGCGACTACCAAGTCAATGTTCGCAAGTCAAGTAGACTTTATTTTGGATACATTTGTAATGAGTGCTTAGTTGGTATGGACGTGACACTTACCAATTTGCCACACCCCCACTTCTTCTCCCCTGCTTCTTTATCTTTCTTAATTTCTTTGTGACCATTGCTGTCTTACACGAATAGAGATCATCTTTTGAAAGGATACTCGTATATATATAAAAAAAAAAAAAAAAAAAAAAAAAACGGAAAAAAATCTTTGGAAAGCGCTATAGAGTCTCGATTCGTTTGAAGCACTCTTGAAGTGCTCTTAGCAAATTAGTTGTGCACAAAAATTTACTTTTCATTCTAAATTATGAACTGTTTGCGGCTTAAACCATTTCGTTACATTTAGGAATAGATTTGCATATGAAAACTAAAGGCAGCAATTTTTGTTTGAAGTCCGCTTAAGCATTCTTTGATAGTGGATATGAGAATTGCAGACGTTGTCTTGATTGCTTGTGATGCTCAAACTACGTCTCGAATATAGACATTTGAACAACGAAAATATTTTAATCATTTTCTGGCTCTTAGTTTGGTTAGTGCTTGGATATCCATCCATAAGTAGGAAAAAGTTACGCACGCGCCTTTATTGAAAAAAAAAATATAATAAAATAAAAAAATAAATAAATAAATAAATAAAATTTCAATTTTGCGGAAATGTCCTTCATCTGTGCATCGCCGTGTCTGCTTTCTGCGCAACTCTCGCTAAGAACCTGAACATGCACATTGTTGTAAATAACATTTTGAAATTTATCGCCGCGAGATAAATTAATGAAAAAATTTGTAAACGAATGGCTCAAGACTTTTTAAATTATTTGAGACTATTTGAGAGATATGTGTATGCGTAGAATATTTGCTACTACTACTTTATGTCAAGCACTGTACGTATTAGAAGAATTTGCAAAAATTATGTCGACGTTTATTGAGTTTATAACTTGAATGATGTGTATACGAATGACTTGCTTGCAATAATGATGATAAAGCTGTTAACGAGTTGCTTTCAACGAGACATTGTTTTTATAGTTGAGCTGTTATGTTCAAGTTATATATATATATATATATATATATATATGTGTGTGTGCAATACTAAAGAGATTTGTCAACAGTTAATGTTTATTGGTATCGGAAGAAATCAAATCACACAAGCTTTGGCGGTTGCGTCCTCATGAATTTGTAAGGATGCTTGGTCTCGAATGCACTCAAATATTTGAACTTTCTTAATTAAGTTTCTGATTTACAAGTTGTTTTAATTTCATTTTTCACCATTATTCCCTTCAGTTTATAATTTGCGATAAAAATTCTCAAAGTGGAATTGTGAATACTTCTTTCCGGTCCTTATAGAAAATTAAATATTTACATCCTTCTTAGTTTTATTTATAATTTTTTGTTTTTATTTTTGCTTTTGCTTTTGCTTTGCTTTTTCTCTACTTGTGTACTTTACTTTTTTCTTTTGTTTTTTTTTTTTTTTTTTTTTTTTTTTTTTTTGACTAAACTAAACTAAACCAAAGTGAACTTATTGCTGACATTTTTGTTGCTATTATTGTTTTATTTCATTTCTAAACTCCTACTTTGGATGAACTTTATTCTCTTCAGATTATCAAGTTACTCTGAAACAGATTCATTGCATTGCTTTACACAAAAACCACCATCATACACAGTCATAATATTTCTGACACTAATATGCTGTACAAT